GCGACGGCGACGGCGCCGATCGAGCATCGCCGAGACCCGACCCTCGATCCTCGGATCGCGGACCCGAGATCACGTCGGAGCATCGATCCGAGGATGGAGGATCGAGCCCCCTTGATTCATGCTTGATCGAGGATCACTCGGCGAGAGGGGGGGAGTAGTGCCCCGCAGCTCGAGACACCACTCGCGCGTGCTCGAACGCTCTCTTGGAGCTTAAAAAAGCAGATGGGGCTCGAGTGCGCGCCTCGAGACGGCGCCCTCGTAGCGAGAACCACGGGGGCGCTTGGCTCGGGGCGCTCGTGCGCCAGGCTCTCAGGCGTCCGCAAGCATGAACGAGGCGGCCTCTGGCTCGGCCTTCGCGTCGGCCTGGCCCCCCCCGCCCTCGCGCTTGTTCATGGCGAGCTGGTCGATCGGCGTGGCCGCTGGCAAGCGTCTGGGAATTCACCTTGATGCGCACGTCGAGAAGCTTGGTCTCGAACTCCTGCTGCTTGACGGTTTTCGAGTAGCCCAGCTTGGCGCGCTCGCCCTGGTAGCCCCGCTCCTGGACTTCGAAATTCACGTCGGCTGTCGTCTTGGCGGCCCAGCACCGCTCGACGATCGCTTGCGCGGTGGCCTCGGCGACCCCGTCACTGCTCGAGACTAGGGCGCGCTCGAGGCACTGCTTGACGCACTGCCTGGCCTTGCTCGGAGTCAACTCGAAGAGCTGCTCGGCATTGCCGGCGGGCCCCTCGCCCCGCTGCTCGACGGGCTCGAACATCTCGTTGGTCGGCAACACAAGGTCGTGGAGGTGGAGGAGCTCGGCGGGGATGTCTGGGAGGGCATGGCCGACGCGCTCGGCGTAGGAGCCGTGGATGAGGCCCTCGACGCTCTCGGCGCCGAGCTCCACGTCCTTCTTCTTGGCAAGCTCCTGCTTCTCGGCCTTGAAGCTCGGCATGGGCCAGGGGGTCCTCGGGCGGCCCCCCGCGGTTCTCGAACACGTCGTAAACGCGCTCGTCATTCTCGCAGCATGTCTGATAGAACGCCGCCACGGCCAGCTCGATGCGCCTCTTGTCCTTCTCGTTGAAGACGTGGCCGTACTCGATGCTCTTGAAGGGCCCGCCGTTGTAGACCACCTCGAGGACGGTTTGCTGGGCGCTGCTTGACCACGAGGCGCTCGCGGCCTTGAAAAAGCAGGCCGCCGTCCTCGCTGCCTCCGCGCCTTGCGCGCTCGATTGGCACTGGCGCGTCTCGGCGATCGCGATCTCGTTCGCGATGAAGCGCAGCATGTCGAGGATCTTCTCGTTCTGCTTGGCCATGCGCTCGAGAATCTCGTTCGAGCTCGGGCTCGGGGTCGCGACGTTCCTGAGGGACTCGACGGGGCGGCTCGCCGCCGCGGCGCGCTCCGCGGGCTGGGACATCGCCGGGGCTCGCGACGCACTCAGGGGCAACGATGCGGGGGGATAGGCATTGGGGGGGGACATCGACCTGGAATCGGCGATACATCGCCGATGCATCGGCGATGCACGCCCGATCGTGAATCCGCACGTTTCCGGGCAGGTTCGGCATGCCTATCCCCCCCTATCGCTGCCCCTGGGGCGAAGAGGCTCTGCGCCTCGAAGAGGCTCGGGAGCTTGGAGTCTCAGAAACTCGGGGACGCTCGGGCCTGGACAGCTGCGGGGGCAGAGGAGGAGGAGGAGGAGGAGGAGGAGGAGGAGGAAGAGGAGGGGGAGGGGGAGGGCCACGACCCGTGTGAGGGGTGCGCTAAAAAAAACATTAACTCCAATGCTCTGCCTGGTCGAAAAACGCATGCACACTCAAAATCCAATCGGTCCCTATGGCCCTGCCACACGTTCCTGCCTCGGGAACGGCTACGAAAATGAGAATCCCATGGCCCTGCCGCACATTCGTAACGTGGGCAAACTGAACTGGTGAGAATCCCAACCCTGCCACACGCTCGTGACTGTGGACGCTGGTGTGGTGAGACCACCATGGCCATGCTCAGCGTTTTTGATGCTGCTGCTGCTCAACATGAGATGATAGCAACTTCGATTCGCAACTTTCCCCGTGGATTATAAAGTTCGGCCCCCGCGCCCCTCTCCACTATTTAATCCGATTGGACGGGGGTTATAAAAAAGAGGGGGAAAGGGGGGGCTACATTATTATCGCCCGTGCTCGGTTAGCCTAGGCCCGCGCCTTCTAAGAAGTCGAAGGGTGCTTCTTGGAAGACTTCCCCCCTCCCCCTGGCCCTTCTGCGCGTGGCTGATGTTTCGGAAGCCTCAGAGGAGGACCCACCATTTGAGCCAGCTTGGGGTCTGAGGTGGCCCAACACTGGTTGTGGCCAACAAAAGATTCCAGACTCTGAGTTCGGGAAGGTTTTTGGTATTCCCCTGCCTTCAAAGGCCGTTGTCGGGCCCCGAGACCATCAGAAACGGGTGCGAGAGAATCGACTAAATGGAACCCGCCAGGAGGGTCCTGTTACCTGTTTTGATCGGATTTGGCCTTCTCCCCCCCGCCTGACCGATTT